CCTTAGCCAGTCGACTTTGCAAAGTCCTTGAATGTCTTTGTTCTGTCTTGTTTCCCTCCTCGTGTAGTGAACGGGCAAGTTGGAATACTCGGGCATAGTGGGCCAGGACGCACTTGTGCAAAACTGCCATCGGAAAGTTGGCTGATCCCGAAGAGTCCTCAACTGGATGCGTGTTGCAAATTACCTAGAGCGATGCGAGCGATTCGTAAGCTGCAGCAGCACCGAGTGTTAGCGAATTTGATGCACCGCGGGTCAGCGATGCATGGACGAGACACAACGCTGCAGTGTACTTCGCTTGGTCGTGGCCTTGTTTCGTCAGCCACTCTCCAAACATCGTGTCCAGTCCCGTGCTTGAGATGGCCCTGGCTGAAACCTGATCCCCGTCCCTTTCATTTGACAAAACACCCAGTCTTTTAGCTCCTCGGCCCCGGCTTTCACAACAATCTGTGGATCCAAACAGCGAACCTCAGTAAGAAGGGCAGGCCAGTTCCACTACCCGATCAAAGAAGTTCGGTTCAATCCAGAAAGGTTTTCTGCGGTCATTCAATACTTCGGCTGATGAAAGGGATGTGCTTTGAAGATCTTGGCCTGGAGCTTTGTACAAAGTGCCTCTCCTGCAACATGCAGGCTGTCTGGCTGTTTGACGTGCGTGGTGCGCGGATCGAAAAGGCATGGCCGCGCACACGGGCACCCACAAAGCCCATTCTCAAGACTTGCGGCAATGTAGAGGAAGTGAGTGCTGGAAGAGCTACTGTACATCTATAAGCAGCATTGAGAAGGCAGCGTAGGGACGTGGATGGGGGTGCGGAAATGTTCGAAATCATTCACACCGAAGCGCATGCTGCAGCTGTTCGGCTTGAGCCAGAACCCAACACGAGCAACAGTTGGCTGGCTGGTGCCCCAATGCTGGCAGCTCCCAATGGCTGTTGGCAGATGGGTGGTGGCTCTGCGATAGCAGAGTTTTGCTGCAGCACGTACCAGCAGCCGTGTCGCACGAAAGTAGTTGTAGTACTGCCGTGTCAGTGTCTGCCTGTGCATATAAACATGCATGTATATATATGGGTACCCCCCTATATGGGGTCCCCTGGGTTTTGGCACACCCAAACCACTAAACCATTAAACCATTAAACCATTCCTTTTGCTCCATACCACTAAACCAATAAACCATTAAACCATTAAACCAATCCTTTCCCCCAATGGACCCAAACCAATAAACCATTAAACCATTAAACCAATCATTTCCCCTAATGGACCTAAACCATTAAACCAATAAACCATTAAACCATTAAACCAATCATTTCCCCCAATGGACCTAAACCATTAAACCATTAAACCATTAAACCAATCATTTTCCCCTATAGAGAGAGACACATCCCTGTATGGGCCGAAAGCATTGGTTTAATGGTTTAATGGTTTAGTGGTTTAGTGGTCTAGTGGTATGGAGCAAACGGATTGGTTTAATGGTTTAATGGTTTAGTAGTAGTGGTATGAAGTAAAGGGATTGGTTTAATGGTTTAATGGTTTAGTGTTTTAGGTGCATTGGGGGAAAGGATTGGTTTAATGGTTTAGTGGTTTGGTGGTATGGGGTAAAGGGATTGGTTTAATGGTTTAGTGCTATGGGGCAAAAGGATTGGTTTAATGGTTTATTGGTTTGGTTCCATTGGGGGAAAGGATAATGGTTTAATGGGTTAGTGATGGGTCTAGGGCTGCCTACTACGCAGGTGTCCTGGATATAACCGGGGACAGAGGTTATAACCAGGCTGCAATATACGTTCAGGGTTTGAAGACTCCCGCCGTGCCCTATAGATCAAATAGATTGGTTTATTGGTTTGATGGTTTAAGTCTTCCGTGTCGTATCGCGCAAGCGAGCCGGTATAATGGTTTAAGTCTAAGTCTCCCCCAAACCCTAGCGCCAAACCCTAAGCACTAAAACCCAAACCCAACACTTGATGGTGAACCTGCAATGGGGTGCCTTGATTGTTTGTTGCACAATATAAACCTTACGAAGCAAATCTGTGCCACCGCTACTTCATCAACACCTAGACCTAGATCCAAACGTTCGAAAGTTTCGGTGTTTCAGGGGAAATGTAACCGCAATGAAACTAAACAAGGACCAGAAGAAGGTCCGAGGTAATTGGCATGTATTCGGTTGTTGAGGCATGATGCAGTGCTTTGTAACAAACATAATTCCGGGGACCATATGCGCATTCCCCAACTTTAGCGGAAAGGCTATATGGCGGACTTTACATAATGGTCTGTCCGTTCCAGTACATCGGGCTTATGAGATCTATGTACACATTGAGAGAATAGCCGCTAACATGTCAATGACCCAGGAATCAAAATGCGGAAGATGAAGGGTCTCTGTCGGGATTACAGTAGGTCAGTAAGTGTTGTCAACATTGGAATATCACGGTACACAAAAAAGTTGAGATACGACTGATACGACGTCATTGTAGGGAGAGATAGTATATCAAAGCTTACAGCGTGGTCAGGTTTCATCACTTCGTACATAGGCGAACTGGTTGCAACGTTATGTTCAAACATCGTTCCAAGGAAGCAGGATTTCGATGAGACAAAACTGATAAGAATATGTGTGGTGAGCGATTTGCAACTTGCAAACTGTTAGGTTTCCTCGCTCGGTACGTAGAAAATTCCTTGCAATGCTATTTCCAACTACATGGATGTACCTCTTTCGAGGAGTGATTCGGTGTGTGTTTACCACTTTTTCTAAAACGAGGAGCACGTTCTGGATTGGGAACAATGGCTTCTGTTCGACCTTCAGAAAATATTCACAAGAACACAAACAGAAATTCGGACAAGCTAGATGTAGCTTTATGGTTTTCAGTGAGCTTTACGTGATGGTTAAGGTATGCTGATACAAAAAGCACAGGCCTCATCACTGAGCATATAGAAACAGTGCCAAGCCTAAGAAGCGACGCTTCATGTCGTCCCCCAGGAAAAACACTGTACAAAGTTTGCCAAGCTTGTAGTGTGCAAGTTTTCAATTTTGGCTTGGGGCAGCCGTCATACAGAAATAAGGAATGCACCACTCAAATATACCTACCGGATATACCAGTGTCTACAAGCAATCACATAGGGGCACAGGGATATGTCATTGAAAGCTATCAGTTTGCCAAAACGTCATAGCAATGCGCCCAACAACAGAGACTTTGATGGGATTGCAGCATTACAGTACAAAGATGGAAAACTTTTCGTTCCAAAATTTAGTTCGCGATAAGGAATGACTGAACCAGACTAATGACTACAGCACGCTTGTTGGAAAAAATTGAAATATCGATAATGTATACCTGATTATAAATTATTCGAATGGTTATAACCTAGTCGGCTGGTTATAACCTAATCGGCTGGTTATAACCTAGTCTGGTGGTTATAGCTCAGTCAGATGATGTAGCGAAAAACGTAGGGGATCCCAAATAGGGGTGCGCCCATATATATATATATATACATTACGGACCATATATATATATATATATATATATATGTTATGTATGTGTATATATATATATATGTATATTATGTATATGTATATATGTACACGTTTATATGTGCGCGAATATATAGGCAGTGTACGCAGAATAGTGTATGTGTATGCTACTGCTATATCGAACCTGTATGTGTTCTGTATATAGCGAATATGCATGTGCATTTATGTCTCTATGTGTATTTGTATGTATATCTGCATAATCGCTGTCTGACTCTGTGGCTATACCTCGATTTATATCTGTACCTGTCTATCTCTCTCAAAACAAATAAACACGTACATATCTGTCTATGTTTGTCTTCATCTACCTGTGTCTGTCTGTCTCCCTCTGTTTGTATCTACATCCATCTCGCAGCAATCTATCTGTCTACCTACCTTGCCAGCTTTGTATCTGTCTATCTATCTGTCTATATACCTATTTAGTTAGCTGTCTATCTATCTATTTACCTATGTACCTATCTATCTATTTAGCTATCTATTAGCCTGTCAATTTGTTTATCTATCTATCTATCTTGCTATCTATTTGTCTACCTACTTTTCTACCTGTTTATCTACCCATCTATCTATGGGTTCGTCTTTCTACTATGTATCCGTCTGTCTATCAACCTACTTTCTCCCTATCTACCTGCTTACCTATCCCTATCTATCCAAGTCTGCCCATCTGCCTATCTAAGTATCATTACGTATCGACCTATCTGTCTGTCTGCCTGTCTGTTTCCGCATCTCTCCATCCATTGACACTGTGATGCGCCTCTCTGTGTGTGTATGCATATGCATATATATATATATACACACATATGTATATGTATATGTGTTTATGTGTGCATGCATGGATGGATGGATGGATGGATGGATGGATATGTTTCTTTGTGTGTGAGGGGGTAGGGTTGTACCAGTGACACGCCGTTGTCGTATCAGTCTGAGTGTTGCAGCTGGCTCAGATGCAGGATAACTAACACCTGTTTGTTTGTCGGTTCACCCTGTTCCCGTGGTCGTCTCCCGAGCTTTAAGGACCCCATTCCGGGACATTCAACTCTGCTAGCTAGGACTAGGTGTGGAAACCGAGCTGATCTTTGGGCCGTCTGCTGAAAGCCAGCAACTCAGATGTACGCTAAGTCGCTAACCACCGTATATTGTTTTTGGCACGAAGCCAAGCCAAACTTATAGCACTTATGCCTGCAAGTGGTGGCTTCATGCTCGCAGTTATTCTTGCTGCCGTATGGGTGCTAAGGCAGCGCGAGGCGGATCCCCACTGTTTCAACCGCGTCTTCACCTTCGATGCAGACAGCTTAGAGCTTCCATGTGCTTCCTTTGGCCGGTAGTGGTGACACGTTGGAGCTGCCTGGGTCCAGGTGTGCTGTCGTGGGAAGGTGCTCTGCATGTGCCTTGCTCACATCCGTTTATCTCGCGGCTTTGACACATCTGGCAGGCGTCCCCATTCGTGCAGTGGCCCCTAAGCTTCATCATTCTCGGCTTCCCTGGGTGCGGAACAACCAGCATGATCAGGTCCGCAGAAACTTGGGTCTTGAAATGCTTGAAACGCCGGGCTGGGCTGTGCCGTAGCGAGGGCACTGGAGGCTCACAAGAGTGTCTTGGCCTCAGCTGCCTCGGTTAGGGTCATCAGTGGAGCTCAAAGCTTTTCATTCTTGAGGTGTCTGTTCTTCGGCGTGATCGGAATCTTCGCTTCACTGGGGGAGATGGGTGGGATTCTAGTTCTGCTCGCGAGACCTCAGGTACGGCAGGCCATGGAACGGCACCGAAATGCAGGCCTGTCCCTCATTGCTCCACCCCAGGGGGCATCTGTGCTTAACTCGTGAAGGCTTTGAGCAAGCTCATCGAGGACGGAAACAGATCGTCCATACTACACTTCGGCCTGTCATTGGCGCGAGGGCAAAGGACTCGTGCACATGCGAACCGTGAGCCCCGGACACGTACGGAACATCAGATGCCCACCAATTGAAGGACCTCGCGCAAACGATTGATGTCCGATCCCACAGCGGTTTTTGATTCGGGCAAGACGTGGGCTCTCCTTCAAGTACGACAGGCGAAATTCTTGGTGATGTTGCGAGACCCGGTGCCACTTGACGGAGTGCTTTGCAGCAGCAGTTTTCCTATGTTGGACTGTTCAAGTTAGTTACTCGAATCTAAGCACTAAGTGTGAAGGCTCTGTGCATTTTCCTTTCCTGTTCGTGCTACGAGTATACGGAAAGAAATGGGAGTCCACTGTACCGCAAGCATACCCGACCAGTCGGGGAATGAAGTGGACCTGTATCATTTCTTGATTCAGCCCATGTGCGACAACTACATGCTCGGCACAGATTTGCCACGGCCTTCTGCACTACCATGTGCATTGCTGCTGTTGCATCTTGTGCTCTCGTGCCCCGTCGTCCTGCCGCTGAGCGACATTTTCGTCCACGTTGCGCCCCGTTCTGCATCCGGTGCTTGTGCAATCTTTCGATGCTTGGACTCCAGATGCCACTGCCTGCAGATTCCTCGGATCAGCTTGTATGCAGCTTGCCACTCGAACAATCGATATTCTGAGTCAAGCCATTTCTTGCGCTGCATCCTTCCACTGTTGATTGGATGGTGTTCGGTCAGTGGTTTCTTCGTTGCAGGTGTCCGCACAGCCTCGAACAACGGCTGCAGCTGGCGGGGCAAAAGTTGCGCGTCCTCGTCCTCGAGCATCAAGTAATTTCGCAGATTCTCATTGGGCTGGCATGCCGAGCCAAGCATGCAAGCTGTCGCACCGACACTTGTTCTGCTAGCACGTCGAAGCTTATGTTGCCAGGCACCGGGTCATGAAAACTCCTTGCGGTGGGGTTGTTGAACGTCCCCCGCCGCTCAGAGCGTTTTCAAGCGAAGCTATGCCGGATCCACCAAACGTACCCTGAGCCAGTGCCGCCGTTTCCGCTTGGTGGTCGCTCGGCTGGAGTGTGCGCAGGTCACGTCACGTCGCGTCCAGTCCGCATGATTGCCGTGGCACCGGAGGGCCTTTGCGTCGCGGCATATCGTGGCACCGTTGCAGGACGGTCCGGCGACCGTCGCCAATCGCCGTTTGAAAGCTCCAAGCCTGCCCTCACAACCAGCCTCTGCCGACGCTGCTGCACCGCTTCAAGCACCCACTCCTGCAGGTCTCGGCCACCTCTCCTGACGAAAATCGTCCTGATGACGGCCGCTCCCGGATGGATTCGTTCTCTGAACGTAGTTCCCGGTTCCTTCGCCCCCCGCTCAAAGGTGATGCCATGACGATGACGAGCAGGTACCACCTGTCATTGCTGACCACGCTGCCGGAGCCAGTGGCAGGGCCGCGCTCTACGCGCCCATGCCAAGGATTGTTTAAGCAGCTCCGAGTTGCGAGCGCAACTCTTCTTCACGGACTTTGCAGTGCAAGGCGTGGCACCACTCTCGGGCCCTCCGGCATGACGATCGCACACTTGCATCTCTTACGCCGTTGTTGATCGTGTGCCAGCCCGTGCCCCTCCAGCCGTCATCGACGGCCGCTTGGTCGCCCTATGCAAACCCGCCAAATGGAGTCAGAGCCCTCGGAGACATCGGCCAGGTGCTTGCACAATCAGTCTTTCGCCGCCCAGCTCCGATAAGCCTGCTTGCCGGTTCCACTTCGGCTTCACGGGCTGGCACCGAAACCCTCGCCGGAGTCCGTCGGCCATGTTTCGCGTGCCCCCCAGCAGACGCTGCCGGGCGGAGTGCGGGCGGGGCCCGGTGAGCTTTCAACAACCGGACGAGGTCTGTACGGAGGCGCGTGCCTGGTCGTTCCAGTGTCCGCCCACCTCCGAGCCCACGACGAGCAACTGCGGGCCGCCGCTAGAGAGCTCTGGAAAGGTAGTGAGCTTCCGGCGTTCGGCTACCCTGTGCGGTGCCGTCGACCAACGCTGCACAAGGTTGTGGGTGTCCCGTGCGCGTGAAGGCAAACACGAGCATGGCGTCACAACACAAGGCTCCGCCGCTGCGTGTCGCGCCGTACACGACCAGGTCGAGGCGGCGCCGGTCTGCGGCTTCCACGCCAGGGGCCGTGGTGTGGGCCAGCCATTGCTGTGGCACGACCTGCTCTTCAGCCCCCAGCGCCTCTCTCGCGACGCGGACCCATGTTCGCTCTACAAGCTTGGCTCGCCTGGCCAGTAAGCGTGTGCGAAGGCAGGGCAAGCGCGTGGTCGCCTACAGCATCGACTGCCGCTCACGGATAACTTGCGCCACGATGTACCGGCAGCCCGCAACAGAGTTCGGAAGAGGGCTTATTAAGGACGGGACAGCTGCAATCCTCAGGCGATGTCATGCCAACGCATCGCGCAGTAAGCGATTGCCTCCACTGCAATTGGGCCGCACACAATCCTGCCATTTCCGGACAATCAGCATGCAGCAAGACGCCACGAGACTGTAGCTGCTGATTTACATCATGAACCCCGGGTCCTGTCACATGCCACATTTCGTGCTGCCACGTAGCTGGTGGGGGTTGTTGAACTGCATGCACTGGCGTCCACGCTCACGCAGCAGGCCGGCTTTGGGCGCGAACCGGCGCAGTTGCAATCGACGCTGAGCGATGTTGTGGAGCTAGCCGAACTTGTGCTACTGTGTTTGCTGCCGCTGTGCCTCGTTAGCGCTGCATGTAACAGTAGACTGGACATTCTTTGGCGGACGGACAACAAGCGTTCGCTTTGCTTCCGCCCCGCCGAGTCCGTTGACGATTACGGTTCCTATCCGGGCATTGAGAATCAGGAATCTTTCAAAAGCGGGTAGTTCTCGTACAGGGACAGCAAAGCTAGCAGCTAGCATACCAAAAAATCAGAACCGTATGCCAACACACCTTTCTCAATACGGCGTTGGGCATGCTGCCGCCATTTCCGGGAAGCCTGAAGCAGCACGGGTCCTGAAACAACCGTCCAGCGGTCAGTAACTAAGAATTAAGAATGTGAAACTCGAAGCTCTTTCCTGAAAATCCACCCCCAGCTAACAGGACCGATGCGCATAAGGCACACGTATGTATTGGAGCTGGAATCTCAAGTTTGCCACGGCAGAAACGGCAGTTCTATAACGCATACGGCAGTGAAAGTATCTAGCAAATCCGACGAGATGTTCGCAAGGATGAGTAATCATCATCGGACATCAACTGGGTAACCTGCGGTGCCACGGGCACATCACCAAGTGCGACACCAGGGCACAAACAACGCGTACAGCTGCCACGACGCTGTCAGCAATTTGTTGTTTTAAAATTTAACGGCGGTCGGGGATACCAAATTGTACTTTATCTTTGTGACCCACATTTTGCAAGTCAATCACGTGACAACATCCAGCTGCTCGAAAAAATGCATGCATGCAGCATGTTCGGGGCCGAATCATGCCGCACTGATAGACTACATCCAGAAATCATCAAAAATGTGGGTGACCGGCAACACGATGTTTACATGGAGCAATTTGCCACCTGAGCGACATCCTTTCCGACTCTCGAACCTCGTGAGGAGCAAGGCCGCCGGATGCCACCAGCATCCGCGCCTCCAGCCATGCGAAGCGCGGCGTCCACTGCTTGGGCCAGGCGTTGGTGGGCCATGCTGGCAGTGTCGGTGCGGCAAGCCCTCACACAGCCGTCGGTCAGCTGGCGCCACTCTTCGCCAGCCATCAGTCGGCCCTCTGGCTGGATTGTTTGCTCGAGCTAGCTGACGCAGCCGCCTGCCGCTCCGCCGCCCGTCGAAACGTCGTAGTGAAGGCTGCCTGATGCCACGTGTACAGCGTGGAGCAGGGACCCAGTCATGCACGCAAAATGCGCGTAAAAACATGACCGCATCAGGCCCATGCATGTGGGGATTAGTCGGCTCGCGGCACAAAACAACCACACACGCTGCAGATCCTTGCTGTTGGGCATTGTTTCCAACAAACGGTCTTGGCTTGCTCGCTTGGCACCGATGACTCGAAATGCAGGCCTAGAACATCCGAGCCCTGCGCGTAAGGTCGCGTCCAACCAAGTTCCTGTCGTGACACTGCACGTCGCCGATGTTGGCTAGCTCTTCACGGCAGCACTCAGATTTGCATCCTACGCAATGCTGGATGTGTGCGTGGTCATTCTAACTCCCTAATTCGTTCAGGCTGCGCGACGACATAACATGTCAAAAATGGGCCGATGTGGGCTTGCTCTTAATGGCAGCATTGGACGGAGTTCATCAGACCCATGCCAAGCATTGGTAGAATCAACTGCGAGTCCAGCTTCTTGCGTCAACGGCCGAATATGCGGCTGAACACGATGCAGCTTGTGTGTCTGGCCACCCTCCTTGCACCTGCTGCCCGGCGGAGCTCGTTGGGCACGCGGACTAGATCCCGGAGCAGCAGCATCAGCAGCTGCACGCCGGCATTCCAGCGTCCTCCAACGTCGCTCCCTAACACCACCAGCTGCTGCGGGCTGGCTGGCGAGCGAGCGAGCCCGAAGAACGGGCAGCGCATCAGCCCATGCGGCCCAGTATGCTGCAGGTGCACTGCGAGTGGCAGAGGTCAGGCCAAGGCCTCCCAGGCCAGCCGGGCGGGTAGCCGGCGTACCCCCAGCACAAACCCAGGCTGCGTGCGACAAGGCCTTCCGTCCGGTGGTGGGGGGGCCGCTGGGCTAGAGCAGGTGTGGCCCGGCGTGCTTCGTGAGCCACCCACCGCACCACGCTCCATCCGAGCGCGAGCCAACCTTCCACGTGGCTAAACGGTTCAGAAACCTGGAGGCAAAATGGTTTCTTCCGAAATGGGCGGGGCGTGCGTCATCACCGTAATTTATGTATTGTATGTCTTTCATGCTGGTGTGGCAGCCAACTTTGGAGTCTGCCACTTGGGGGGCGGAACGTCGGACTTGGATGCTTGACATAGTTGATGTTGTGCAGCTCTCTAGTCACAATTTCCTGCGTGCAACATCATCTGAGATGGCGGCCCACATGACGGAGCCACCACCCGGGCAGACATACCCCGAGATTGACCGAAGCCGACCCCGCCGTTTCTTCGTTTTCGGACTCGAGGTGGGCGGACGCTGGGCTAAGGAAGCTGCCACCTTCGTTCGCCTTTTTGTTCGGACGCGTGCAGCAAGTGCCATTGCCGCA